GGGGCTGCTGATGCAAGGGTTGCTGGTGCAGGGGCTGCTGATGCATGGGTTGATGGTGCAGGGGCTGCTGGTGCAGGCACTACTGGTGCAGGCACTGCTGGTGCAAGGGTTGCTGGTGCAAGGGTTGTTGGTGCAGGCACTGCTAGTGCAATGGTTGCTGGTGCAGGAGTTGCTGTTGAATTGGTTGTTTGTGCAGGGGCTGCTGGTGCAAGGGTTGCTGGTGCAAGGGTTCCTGATGCAAGGGTTGCTGGTACAGGTGTTGTTGGTGCAGGGGCTGCTGGTGCAAGGGTTGCTGGTGCAGGGGCTGCTGGTGCAAGGGTTGCTGGTGCAGGGGCTGCTGGTGCAAGGGATGCTCGTACAGGGGTTGCTGGTGCTGGAGTTGCTGGTGCTGGAGTAGCTGGTGCAGGGGTTCCTGATGCAAGGGTTACTGGTGTGGGGGCTGCTGGGGCTGCTGGTGCAGTGGTTGTTGGTGCACGGGATTCTGGTGCAAAGGTTGCTGGTGCAGGAGTTGCTGGTACAAAGGTTGCTCTTGCAAAGGTTATTGGTGCAGGGGGCTGCTGGTGCAAAGGTTCTTAGTGCAGGGGCTGTTTGTGTGGGGATTACTGGTGCCATGGTTGCTGGTGCAGGGGTTGCTGGTGCAGGAGCTGTTGGTGTGGGGATTACTGGTGCCATGATTGCTGTTGCAGGGGCTGTGGGTGCAGTGGTTGTTGGTGCAGGGGCTGCTGGTGCAAAGGTTGCTGGTGCAGGGGTTGCTGGTGCAGTGATTACTTGTGCAAAGGTTTGCTGCAGGGGCTGCTGTTACGGGTATTAATGGTGTGGGGGTTGCTGGTGCAGGGGTTGCTGGTGCAGTGATTACTTGTGCAAAGGTTTGCTGCAGGGGCTGCTGTTACGGGTATTAATGGTGCGGGGGTTGCTGGTGCAGGGGTTGCTAGTACAAGGGGTACAGATCCACACTTTAAAAAGGATCATTCAGTATCAAAGAGAAGACAGGAGGAGAAGGTCAACTGAAGTATTTACAAGTGGTGAGGAGGTCGTGAAAGTTGTTGTTTAATAAAGATAAAACTGCAACATTGTTCCGGCTGTGTTTCACGATAACGTGTATATAGGTATACAGTTTGTTTGGAGGACCTTACAAGTATACCAGTCTTTTGGGTGAATTTAGTGTTCATAAAACTGAAAAAGGCAGATGAAAGTCATAAAATGTCTGTAAAACAACTTGTTAACAGACACTTAAGTTGTGCATTTGTATACAATGTAGAACCAATTGTGCTGAATCAATTTATTAAATTTTTGCTTTAAAATTTCTTGTGGAATTCTCTGTAAAAGTCTAATTTTGCCCACTAAAATAGGGAGAAATTTTGTCTGTGAAGGAAAAGTGTATTAATGGGACAGTCATTGCTGATTTTCCACTAGCACCAGTTTTAACATTTTATAATATTCATATATAAGTAACTACATGACTACATGTTTTTACATGATGCTAAATAATCTTACGCTCAGTAGAAAACCAAATCATTTTGATGAAGTGAGCCAGGCTTTAAGTAAGACCCAAAATAATATAAATTTCCATGAAATTTTAGAAAATTTTGATAAAAATTATACAGTGGAACCTCTGCTTACAAGTGCCCCACCATCATGCAAGTTTTTCAGGATACAAGCTGTCGCTTGGTCAATTTTTTGCTCCTGGATGCAAACCAAAATTCAGGTTGTGAGCTTTCCCCACAAGGGAGGTTCCTTGACACTGGTGAGGGGCTCTTGATCTAGAGAATTGTATCAGTGCTCCAGTTCCCTAAATTAAGCTGGAATAGTACCTTCCATTCCCTCTCCCCCACAGGTACTGTATAATCCTACAGGTTTAGCGCTTCCCCATTATAATAATAATGTAACATAACATATAATAATAATAATAATGTAATATAACATATAATACATGTAATAATAATACGTATAATAATAATATGATAGTAATTATAATAATATAATAACAAGTGAGCTTCAGAATGCTGCCACTAAATGGCACAGTGAATACCACAACACTGCTCACCATCACCAGTGCACATGCTTACCTCATGGTGGAAAGATTTCTCTCGTGTTTTGCTTATGTTTTGTGCAGTTATTTTGCCAAATACCTTTTTCCTAACCATGGGTTCTAAGAAAGTAAGTACAAAGGACAGTGCTGAGAAGAAAAAGATGATGTCCATGGAAGTAAAGCATGAAATCATAGATAAACACAAGCGAGGGGAAGTATGGGAAGATGTTTTCAGAGCGGGAATGGCCGCCACCACTTGTCACACAATGACATATTTTATTCATTCTAGAGTATATGTATCAGGTTTCTGTGTTATTAGATGAATTGTGATAGATAAATAAACCATAGAGTTGATATTAACATTATATGTATTGAAGTATTTTGTTTTGCCTCCTGAGAGCAGGAATTCTGCTGAAACAGATTAATGGCATTTCAGTTAATTTAACCCTTAAACGGTCCAAACGTATATATACGTTCACTCGCGTAGCACCCCAAATTTTTTGAGAGAAAAAAAAACTTTTTTTTTTTTAAAGGTAAAAAGAGCATATGGTACCCAGGCATCCCCAATTATTTTAATATGGCACACAGTGAGTGCGCACACCCATTCTCTAATGCCTAGGTGACTCTGGCTTATCGTGGCAATGTTGAATGAATGACAAAGAAAACGTATATATATGTTTGGGGCGCTACGCACGTGAACGTATATATACGTTTGGACCATTTAAGGGTTAAATGAGGAAGATTGACTAAGCATACGAGCAGATTGGGTTATGAGCTAGGTCATGGAATGGACTAAACTCGTGAGCAGAGGTTCCACTGTACAATTATACACATGATTACAGTCTGCTGAAGAAGACCTGTGTGGTAGGCCAAAATATGGGTTGGGTTGTGGTGTTGTCCAAAAATGCTTGATTAGTGTGGATGCAGTAGTGATAGTCTTATACAGTAGTAACGAACTTTGCCACAGTCTACAAGTATGCTACATTATAAGCATAAACAATTGCTTAAACAAAATTCATATATTGGTGCAAAATGAAGTGTAGAACTGCATTATGGTTTCATCTTAAGAAACATAAACCAAACAGAATTACATATCAGAGTTAAAGAATTTCGGAGTTAAGAACGTGAATTAAAAAGAGAGACTAAAGCCACTGGAAATGTAGTGCTTGGAATACAGAAGAAAAAGATGTAATAATCATATGCATTGTCATAACAGTTCTTATGAGAGATTTTGAGGTGAAATTGCAAAAGTTGCTGCATGAATTTTGGAGTGTATGTAAAAGAAGAAAATTAAAGTGAACATAGAAAAGAGCAAGATTACAAGGGTAACAAAAAAAAGAAGGTAATGAAAGACTGGATATCAGATTGTAGGGAGGGCATATGGAAGAATTAAATGAATTGATATCTGTCAGTGGAGGTATTGGCAGATAGGGTCCCTGAAAGACAAGATCAAGCACTAGGGATTTTTGAAGGGGACAAAAGGTAGGTGGTGTGTTAAGAAGTGTGTGGCAAGCAAGAAAATGGGTAAAGCACCAGACACGAAGGTGTAGTAAAACTCACAACCCATCAGTGGTATAGTGGTACTAATACGTACTTGTATGTGGGTATGAGACTCAGGGTTTAAATAGTGCAACAAGGAGGAGACTGGAGGCAGTGGAAATGTCATGTTTGAGAGCAGTGTGTGGTGTGAACATTATGCAGAGAATTTGGGATGTAGAAATAAGAAAACAGTGCAGGTTCAATAAAGGTATAATTTAAAGAGACATGGAGGATTTGTTGAAGTAGTTTGAACATTTAAAGAGGATGGGGCAGAATAGAATAACCAAGAGGGTTTATGAATCTGGGGTAGAAGGGAGGAGGAGTAGGGGTCATTCTAGGAAAGGTTGAAAGGATGGGGTAAAAGTTAGAGTTGTAGGGGCTTGAACATCTGGCAGGCATGTGTGAGCATGTTACATATGAGTGGGTGGAGGTGAGTGCTGCTTATGGCTTGATGTACTGTTTGAGTGTCAGGTCATCCAAACTTGAGTCCTGGAGGTAGGAAGTGTAGCACCTACACTTTCAGTAAGGGTTGGCGATATTGCATGTTGTAGGGTCATATGAATTGTGATGACGTCTGGGCAGTTTTGGCAAGATACGTACTGCAAGAATGTTTGGTTACGTTACCTTTGTGGGAGATGGCCGATATGTTAAAAAAAAAAAAAATCAAAGATAAAAGGAAACAGAGAAGATTTTTTGGAACTAGCACTTATGTGAACTAAAAGCATCCATTATGATAATAAAAAAACATTGGAGAAGAGACAGTTGGAAAGTAGTGTCATAATCACTGGAAGGCTTTAAAATGTTTGGATGAATTAAAACTCCATGGTATATATCTACTCCTATAATTACACATAGATAATTACTCTGTAATAATTATGCATACAGGCCTAGTCACAGACCAGACTGCAGGGGCATTGGTCCCTGAAACCATCTCCAGGTATACAGGAAATGTGTATAAAAAGTACTGTAAAGGGTGATTCTTATTAATGCTCCAAGTTATGTATATCTGTACGTACAAATGTATCAGATCTGCAGTACAAACATATGAAACATAACCATCTTTTGTACTAGTTTTCTGCAGAAAATTTGCAAATTAAAATCCTGGGAATATAACGTGTATGCAAGTTGAATAGGAACACAGCTTGCTTGTAGGTTGAAAAAACAAAAAACATAATGTGTTTGTAAGTTGAAACATCAGGATTATAACTTGTAAGTTGAAATATTAGTTGTATAGCATGTTTCTAAATTAAAACAACTTATTTGAAAGTTGAAATATTAGGAAGATAACTTGTAAGGCTTTTGGTTGTGTATATGTTTATTATGCTTTACACAGTGTAGCATAGGAACAGGATTAGCTAAAAAAATGTAAACTTTGTGAAATGTGTTGTATAGAAGTTCATTATTGTAAGAATTGTTATTGTCTGTATTGCAGGATGCCTGTGCCCCCGGCCATGCTGCGTGGTGGGCGGGGAGGGGGTCGAGGGGGCGGTCGCAGTGACTATGGTAAGTGGTGGAACTATTACAACTATTACTGGGGTCCAAGACCACAAAAGAACACAGGATACAACTATTACTGGAATAACTACAGTTGGTACTATTGAGTTGCTCATCAATATGGGACCAGAACATCAAGTACTGTAATTATCATTTTCAAATAATGGTGCTGAGAGTTGTATATATGAATGTCCCAGTGATAATGCTCTGCTTGTTTATATTGCCATTTTGAATTACAAGCCTAATGATCTCACTCCTTTTTGGGAGTGTTATTACTCCTGTTTATAGCCACTGTTGACAAGCTCTACTTAAGAACTTTATTTTTTGGACAAAGTGATAGACTAGACATTAAGGTACAGGGACAGGCCCCTGTATTAATGGAATAGGCAAATTGAGCTTAATATTGCTCTTAAATATTTAACTGTATATGCATGGATTGGCTTGTTTTGTTTGTAATTTTTTCTTATGTTATATTGGCAATACTTGCTAAAAGTAGTTGTGTATGAAATTTTATGTTAACTAAATTTGAAAGACTTCCCTGTATCATAATATATGAAAAGAATAAACTAGTTGTCATGGAATTGACTTGCTCTTCTTCCCTTCAACTTCCTGGCCCCAATTGCTTTTCAGAGGTACCTGGTAGTGGTCCTTTGAAGATGCAGTTTGTGCAGTTGTGTCTTGATACTCTGGCTTATTGGTTGCCTTCTTTAGTTACAAATATCATGTGTACACACACTTGTCCTGTAAATCACCTCAACACATCATTTTTTATTGATTAGTTCTTCCCGGCATGCCCTCTTTAGTACATATATAAAGTACAGTATATTTGATGTTAGTAAGAAATTAAATTTTACTGTTATTAGCTATCAACATCATTTGGTATTATTTCTAGATTATGATTACGACTATTATGGTTATGGAGATTATCAAGGTGGCTACAGTGACCCGTATTACGACGACTATTACCGTTATGAAGATTACTATTACGATTACTCCCCGTATCCTATGGGGCGTGGTCGCACCAAATCAGTGCCGGTGGGTCCCAGTGTCCATTCTCAGTTACTGTAGTATTGAAGTGTCATATATGGCGTGGCCTCACACTCCATACCAGTGCCTGGATGTTGAGGCTTGTCTAGTGGGTCAGAAATCATCTCCAGAGTCGTCTTTCTTGTGGCTGCATGAGAATATATTTTATGACCCGTGAAAAGTTGAGAGCATGATTCTTTATTCTTGACTTTGCCTTACTAAGTGATAATCTTGAAATTTTACATACTGGTAGGCTTCAGCGGAGACTATCTTAAACCCCTCCATGAATTTCTTTAGGTGACATTGTTTATTCTTAGTTTGGAAAAGAGAGATAAAAGTAAAAGAAAAAGAGGAGCAAAACTATGCACTATACTACTGACTTAGGCAGTGGACTACACTATGCAAATAGTTTCTATGATTTTCTCCAAGCATACTCAAATCTTCCCTAACTGGCAAAAGCGAATGGCTCTTGAACTATTGTGGTTACAAGAGTGTGTGCAATGAGTCTTAAGTGGTTAGAAGCGTTTGTTCCAAGCATTTGGGAGCTGAGGAAGTGTGAGGCCACGTTTTATTGGGTCCCATGCCTGAGCCAGCATTCCAGCAGCTCGGGGCTATGGTGGCTAAAACATGGCCGGGAAGAAGATTAACGATTCTCATGATAATATTTGATAGAGTATATAATAGCACTACAAAGTGAGTAGTGGAGCAAGAATCACTACTTGGTACCATGCCCCGTGCCATACCATTCCTGGTAATACCTTGTCCCCAGTTACTTCTAGAACCCCGTTATGCACCACACCTCTGGCTCAGGGATGGTGACTTGTACTTTGCTTTAGTATATATAGAGCCTTTACAAGCTTGCTGCATACTGTACTTGCTCTCATAATGCTTACCTCATTATCGAAGTCTCAGTTTTACTTTGAACATTACTACATTCTTGAGGGAGGTTGACCACTGATTGTGGGTTGCCTTGTGCTTTCAGGCTGGCCGTGGGTATGGTATGGCGAACCGTGGCCGCGGCGCTGTCCCCTCCCCCCGTGGGGGGCGGGGTATGGTGCCCCGAGGGGGGGCCATGGGGGGGCGTATGACTCGGCCACCACGCGCGGGGCAGGGGTTCAGAGGGTCCGCCAGGGGGGCAAATCTAGCAGGTGAGTCTTGAGCCGTCACTCCCTTGTATCTTGTGCCTACACCACCAACACTAAAAGATCATGTTTCATAGTGTGCCATCACTTGATGAGAAATAGGCCAGGGGAAAGCCTGTGATGCATATAATTCTTCCATTGTAGAGATCAGTCAGATAAGTGAGATGAAGCTTGATCCATTACAGGTAAAAGAAAGTTGGATGGCGGGCACCAGAACGAGGGGGACTCAAAGAGACGGTTCCAGAACACCGGTGCTAGCTGGGGGAACCAGCCTATCCCACAGCAGCCGCTGAGCTCATACAGTGGGGCCAACGGCAGCAAGTACGGCGGGGCAGGCGGGGACCAGCAATGGTACCACGACAGCTATCCACAGTCGTGGAGCTGAGGTGTAAGCGGGTGGGCCGCCAGCACCAGGTGTAGAGGGTGGGGCGGGGGCATGGCGGGGCACAACTCCACCAAGTACAGCATGCTGGTCTGTCCAGAAAAGCCTGTTATCAGGCAGAGGAGGACATTCCTGCCATTTGTATGTATGGGAGAAGTATCGGTGCTAGCATCTGATACAGAGCCCATGGATGATGGCCGTCCCACCAGTGCTGCGTCAGTGGGGCCTGGAGAGGGCTGGCTGCCAATTCTCGGTCGTACTTTTGTGTGGCCGGGGTGAGGGGCCGCAGTCCACCCCACCAGTGAGACATGTACCTGAAAAACATCTCCACCATACCCAAACCCACCAGGTCAGTTGGGTAATAAAACATAACTAAATCTAGTAGGAGGAAGTCTCACAAGAGTGCTGCTCTAAATTTAATCACTGTTAACCACTAGGATGAAAAAAAGCCAAACTGTGTTCATAAAATTTCAATCCAAGTGGTTTTAATGAGCAGGCTGTTTTATTCCCGCTTACTTTGTGTTTCACATGCAATCTTCTTGTCTTTCAATAAAATCTAAAAGAATAGATCCCATAACAAACCTCTAATATGTCAAGCAGTTTGCCCCCCTAGTTCTGGAGACTAATCAATTCAATGGAAATGGTTAGTGGAAAAATACCTGCCCAAATTCCTGTATTAGAATAATTGATGTCAGTGCTACAACAGCAGTACCATTTCCTATTATTCAGGTGTGTCATCAATAAAGATTTTGCCTTCCTCTTCTTCATGAAGTATGATACAAGGTCATTAATTAAAGGGGAAATTGCCAATGGAATTTTCTTGTTTATTAGCATTACAAGCATCTTACCAAAGTTATAGCAGCATCAGTATCAGAACCTTCCATCCAGTTTGCCCCATATTACACTGTTTATACATATTTTTTTCCCCCCAAAAAAAGGCGGTCCTGCATGCACATTTCAGTGACCACACTATTTTCTTTTGGTATCCCTAAATGCTGTGTCCACTGAATAACTCTTGAACCTTGCTACTTGATTTGTAGTTCTTAGTTGGCATTAAGCAGTTGCTCAGTGCAAGATTGATTCAATGCTCGTGAACATATTGGAATGTTGTCAGAAACCAATTCAATGGAACCCAATAATTTAAGATTTAACCCATATAGGTATTGCAGTATTTGTGAATTAAAGCATGATTTTATGGATTTTCTTATGTACTAATTAGAAATATCCATATTCAGTGATTGTAGACTGATTGAGGTGATTGATGTAGACTGATTGGTCAGAAAATAAATTTGTTTGGATCTGTACATATCTGGATGCAAATGTTACTCATGCGATCTGTGGAAGAGTGAGCAGTGTATGAGACACATTGCCAGTCACAGGGAAAGATTTGGTGTGTTTGGATGACAAAGCAGTTATCTGTGGTGGAGATTGGACCAACTGGCTGTGACTAATTTGCGAAGACTTGAAATGTAGAGTTTATTGTGTGTGTTATCTAGGGGCTCTCAAGTGGAGAATGTCTGGAATCTGAAATTGGTTTTCAGTATTCCAGATTCTCAGTCCTTTTGGACAGATTGTGGTTCCTGATAATGAATTGTTGTATTCATAGTTATAAGAATTTCTTGTGATAAGTAAACCAGAGCTAGTTAATAGATGCTCCTTTTTTTTAAGTATCATTATATGATAATTGGACAGCACTCTTTTATAAGTTGTGCGGATACTATTTTTTTTTTTATATAGGATTCATTTAGGTATAATATTTTTAAAAATGTTACTTCAAGATTTAAATTTATTATTATAAGTTTATTTAGGCAAAAAATATGTATTTCTAAACAGTTATGTTATTCTCATTTAATTGGCTAATTACAGTAAGGCATTTTTATTATGTGAAGCTGTGCCTCTGTCAGTACAGATGAAAAGAAATTAGGTTACAGTAGAAATTGATTGGATCCTCAAGTTACCAAACTTGTGATGACCTTGGACCAGACTAGATAAACTACATACTGAGAATTGGCACTTGAATGAGTTCAATTTGGCTCATATATGTCTTGTTAAAAAGTTGAAGGTGATTTAGTGGAAATTAGATGTAATTTTAGCTAATGCCAGATGTATAAATTGGGTTTGCCAGTTGTGGTGTCAGCTACATACATGTATGGTTAAAAAAAAAATATAAAACCCTACATTAAATTCTGATGTGTCAGAGAGACTTGTTAAACCACTCCTGTGGTGGTGTTACACCACTACTGTTGGGGTGTTAAACCACTACTGTGGTGGTGTAACACCACTACTGTGGTGGTGTAACACCACTACTGTGGTGGTGTAACACCACTACTGTGGTGTTGTAACACCACTACTGCCACTCACTATAGGAGACAGGTGATACATCACCCCTTCCTCTGACACTATAGGGGAGGTGGGGGTGTTACATCACCCCTCCCTCTAACATTATAGGTGAGGTGGTGTTGGTTGGTGCACTTCTCAATGATAATGTTCTCCACATTCTTACATACTCAACATGCCTGGCCATTAGAAATTGTTTTATGTGTTTTCCTGCATATTGAGTGGGTAATGTTGAGAAAAAATCTTGCTAATAATGTTTAAAGAAATTTTTAAAGATTTCTAAGCTTCATATATGATGAAAATATTACATTTACCTAACTCTTGTAGCTATGGACAACACACTGTGCTTCATTTTATCATTATTATATTTTCTAAAGTGTATAGTAAAAAAAAAGTTATATATTCAAAAGTGTATAGTAAATATTGATGAACATAGTGATATATTCTAAAGAATATAGGGAAATTTCTGAAATATATTGTTGTAGTATTCTGGGACATCATAAAATATTGAGAGTGCATGCCATGTTGTACTAAGAACATGAGACATTTGCTATTTCTAATAAATCATTTGTAATATAGCATGAAGCAGTGGTGGTAGTAGTAGGTATGCAGTGTGGATTATGTTAATGGCTAGTAATGATCATCAACAAGTAAGTGTTTTTGACCATAGGAGTCATTGCTAATACATTAACTGCTGTAGTATTTTAATTTTCAGACAAAGACTTGCCTCTTCATTGACTTTTGTTCAGCCAAGTTTAATATGGCATACCTTAAGTATGGACACTTGACTTTGGTAGGACATTTCCCTTTATTTTCTCTACCGTACCGTCGATCACACAACGTCCACAAAGATTTGTTAAAGAGTTTGTCAGGAGATATTGGTGATGTATTCCTGTACTGTACACTGTAAGGTTAGTATGTTCAAGAGGTGGTTGCCTTAGCCAAGAGGACTGAAGGGAGGTTGTACCACAAGCTGGATCTTGGGAGTCTCAGACTCGACTGTACCCAGTGATTGAATGGAAGTAAAGGAGATTTCCATTGGTTTATGCTTTTTGTTTTCAACCTTATACTGAAGATTCCTAATTTTATTAAATTATACAGTGGATGGAAAGGTAGGAAAGAAATATTTTCTAAGGAGTTTCCCCAATTGATATTTTACCATAATATATAAGTACAAATATTCTTTATCCCATATTATTTCTTTGCAGTTTTATAAGTCTGCAAATAAAGACTGACCACAAGTATTTTTGTGAGGTCACTAGTGTATAGTTGAAGACAAGTATTTCAGTCACTTCACTGAAAGTGTTAAGAGGCATGTAAGTTCCCATGTCTTCTGATAACATGTTATTTTTCCACTAAAATCTACCTTAATCATAATTACTATTGTATTTGCTTTGTTTTATAAGGTGAAGTCTAGGATCTTTCCTTAATTCATGGTATACCTTAACAAATCTTTGTGGACAATTGTGTTGCAACAATTGTCCTCTTCAACACAATTGTCCCCAAAGATTTGTTAAGTTATACCATGAATTAAGGAAAGATCCTAGATTTCGCCTTAGGAAACAGACAAAGCAAATGTGATAGTAATTATGGACAAGGTAGATTATAGTGGAAAAATGTCCATTTTATTACAAGAAGGGGGTACTTACATACCTCTTAAGAGGTGGTTTCCTCACTTCACTTGAAGGGTACAGTGCCAAGATCTTGTTTTAACTTTACCTAACATTGTTTCACTTTGACATACTTTTAGTTACAATATTCCAGACCTTTTAAATGGCATTTGAGACTCCATCTTTCAGTTGAAACACACTGCATTTGTGACATTAACTTGTACAAAATGGTGATATTTATTGCAACAGTTCTAAGAGATACCAAGATTTTCCCAAGTGCTGTTTAATTCCTGAAGCACTGATGAATATAACATTTAAACTTTTGAGCACTTGGCTGGTTTTACAGGTGTCACACACCTGCCTGGCCTCTCACACACAAACTCACCTGACCTCACACACACCACCTGGCCTCACACACACAATCACACGTCCACTTGGCCTCACACACAGACACACACATATTATCATGGAATAATTACATCGTTGTGCAAGCGGGGAGCAATGATAAGGCTTCGGTGGCTTCTTACTTTATTTGCGGTTCACAGTACACAAGCAGTGTGTTTAAATTGCCCTGGCCCAAGAGGGCCATGCTCAGCGAGGGAGAGAGGAGTTGCATCTTGTTGTCTCTAGGTTACATTGATGCCTAGTGAGGGCGAGAAAGGCGTGGTGCAAGCAGAGCTGGGTATCCCCACCCAGGGGCTTGCCTTCTGGTGGAAACTATGGGAACTAGCCATGTAGGCTTACTGTCTACATTTTGCTCAGCCACCAACCCATGAATGGCTGAAAAAAAAGCTCAGTCTCTCTCTTGCAGGAACAGGGCACAGAACACAGAATAAACATTATATACAGTAGGGCCCCACTTTTTCGGCAGGTTAGGTTCCAGGCTACCGCCAGAAAGCAGACTTCGCGGAAAGCAGAACTCCATTTTTTTTCCATTTATAAATGCATATAAATGCCAGATAACAAGTTTACACTAACATATATTAAGTTAGCAATAGAACTAGGCATTAAAAAGTAAAATACACACACAGTATACTCATTATTTACCTCAAAATATTTGTAGTCTTAATGTAGGGCAAAAGGTGAGTAATATTTACTCTTAAGAAGTCAGGTGTGGTAGCCCTCCTGGCCACCCCACCCACACATACTATACTACGATGCTTAAAGCTCCCTAGAACGATAAAATGCATATACAGTACAAGCATTACTTACCTTAAAATATTTGTAGTCTTAATGGTCTTAATGTAGGGTGAGGGGTGAAAAGTACTTATTTGTAGAGAGTCATGTGGGAGGTATGGCATCCTGCCTGGCCACTTACACCTACTACAACATTAAGCTCCCTAGAGCGATAAAATGCATACATATATAGTACATTCATTAGTTACCTTTAAATATTTGTAGTCTTAATGTATTGTGAGAGGTGAGTTTTATTTGTATGAAGTCAGGTTGGGAAGTATGGGTAGCCAGGAAGGGCAGCCCTCCCCACCCCACCCACACATAATGTAAACAAACCAGATTAACGCGTCTGGTTTTCATCACAAGTCCTACAAGTTGCCTGGCTACCACAAGTCCTACAGGTTGCCTGGCTACCACAAGTCCTACAAGTTGCTGCCTGGCTACCACAAGTCCTACAAGTTGCCTGGCTACCGCAAGTCCTACAAGTTGCCTGGCTGCCACATCTCATATTTATGTTAATTTATTCTACTTTGGGGTGTATTTAGATGGATCAAGCAAAATGTCTATATTAACATTTTATATGATACTTAATGCTCCTTAGAGTATTATTGTGTTATTATTATTATCATTATTAATATGGCATCTTCAAGAGTAGTCAAGCCGTGGAATAGCCTAGAAAGTGAAGTAGTGGAGGCGGGAACCATACATAGTTTTAAGGCGAGGTATGATAAACCTCATGGAGCAGGGAGAGAGAGGACCTAGTAGCAATCAGTGAAGAGGCGGGGCCAGGAGCTGTGACTCGACCCCTGCAACCACAAATAGGTGAGTACACACACACACACACGTCCTACGAGGAGAGGTTAAAGGAAACTCGATCTGATGACACTGGAGGACAGGGAGGACATGATAGTGACATAAAATACTGAAAGGAATTGACAAGGTAGACAGAGACAGGATGTTTCAGAGATGGGACACAGCAGCAAGGGGTCACAATTGGAAGTTGAAAACTCAGATGAGCCACAGGGATGTTAGGAAGTATTTCTTCACTCACAGAGTTGTCAGGAAGTGGAATAGTCTGGAAAGTGAGGTAGTGGAGGCAGGTACCACACATAGCTTTAAGAAGAGGTACAATAAAACTCATGGAGCAGGAAGAGAGTGGACCAAGTAGCGACCAGTGAAGAGGCGGGGCCAGGAGTTATGACTCAACCCCTGCAATCACAGTTAGGCGAGTATGTACACACACACACACATGGCCTCGCACATACAGACCTGGCTACACACATGCACACACCTGCCCCCCCACACACACACACACACAAACATGGCCTTACACACACACGGCACAGCAGAGTGTAGGGGCAACAAGGCTCCCAGAATTTTTGTGTTTTTAGGGCATGTTTTAGCTCTTAGCAGAAGTCAGTGATAGTGATTGGGTCAGTGAGCAACCTAACAAGTAACAACAAAGTCTTAAAAGTTAAATAGGCGAGAGGAAGACTGAAATTTCAGGAAATTCGAAAGTGCCGAAGCTTGTTAGAGGCCTAGCAGGCATTTGCTGCCACAGAGCTACAAATAGTCAACTTACAAGGACAAGTAAACCTAAAGCAAGAAAGTCAAGTTGGTTAGTGAGTTAACTGTGAGGTGGCATATGTCGGTGAAGGTTGGCATATCAGTAGGCCTCCAGGAAGTGGTACTGCCATAGTCAGGCTGTATGTCATAAATAAGGAAAGAAGTGAAGTTACCAGTAGGAAAGTGTAAACACCTGCGTTAAACGAATTCGTTGCTAAGTGACGAGAAATATAATGGTAGCAAGTTTGTGTCGACTATCTTTGATATTGTTTTAATGTCACCTTTGCACCATTCATAACATTTCTGCTATATTTTTAAATGTTCATACAGTAGTGCACGTATACTGAAATAAACAGAATAGAGGAAATCAGCTCTAATATACATTATTTAGGTATAAATACTGGTTAGAGAGCCTCGTAAGTCCGAGGCGTCGTTAAACGAGTATGTCACTAAGCGAGGCTGTGTGTGTATACACAGTAGGGCCCCACTTTATATGGCTGGTTAGGTTCCAGGCAACCGCCTTTAAGCGGCAATCGCCGAAATGCAGAACGCCATTTGTTTCCACTTATGAATGTTGGATAATAAGTTCACACTAACTTACATTAAGTTAACAATAGAACTAGGCATTAAAAAGTAATAAAAAGTTAAATACACACACACACACAGTACACTCATTACTTACCTCAAAATATTTGTAGTCTTAATGAAGGGTGAGAAATGAGTAGTGTTTATTGTAAGAAGTCAGGTGTGGTTGGTATGGTAGCCAGCCAGCCCACCCCACCCCACCCCACCCCACCCCACCCCACCCCACCCCACCCCACCCCACCCCACCCCACTCCACCCACATGTAATATACTACAACTTTTAAAGCACCCTAGAGTGATAAAATGCATATAGTGTACACTCATTACTTACCTTAAAATATTTGTAGTCTTAATGGTCTTAGTATAGGGTACAAGGTGAATAGTATTTATTTGTAGAAAGTCAGGTGTAGTAGGTATCATAGCCCATCTGACCACCCCACCCACGCATAATATACTAGGCATTTAAAGTGCCCTAGAGCAATAAAATGCATATAGAGTACACTCATTATTTACTTTAAAATATTTGTACATTTACTGTGGGTGTATTTATCATGTTTATATCTTATATAGTGTGTTTATTATATAATTTTGAAAAAATTATCATAGATGGATTAAGCAACATGTCTATATTAATGTGATTAATGTGATTATTATCGAGTGTTGTCATGATTAATATGGTGTCTTCAAGACTAATATAACACTTAGTGATTTTAATGTGTACCTGCACGCCAGCACTGTGTGTAAGTTTACGGTGGAACCTCGGTTTTCGTAGGATTCAGTTTTTGATGACTTTTTTTCATCTAAATTTTGTCCCAGTTTTCATACATCCACTCGGTTTTCATAGAGTTGACAGTGGTCCGTACCGAACACATGCACCTACCCGCGCACACACAAAGCATCCCACGCATTCTAACTCAGTTTGTGTGGGAGGAGAGCTGTTAGAGTCAGGGATAGCAGTAAGTGAGGGGGGAGAAAGTGACAGTTCCCATGCAGAGGCACAACCATGCCACCAAGAGTAACAGGAAAAAATAAGAGACAATGGCTATGTACAAATGGGATCCAATGACAGAGAGGGAAGGGCAATGGGAGAAGTCAGTACTTATTCA